TCCATGCAGATCTCCTCTAGAGCAGTGATGTTTTGGGGCTGTCGCTGGGCAACACAGACTTTCAACTCCCTCCAAAGATTTTCTATGGGGTTGAGATCTGGAGACTGGCTAGGCCACTCCAGGACCTTGAAATGCTTCTTACGAAGCCACTCCTTCGTTGCCCGGGCAGTGTGTTTGGGATCATTGTCATGCTGAAAGACCCAGCCACGTTTCATCTTCAATGTTCTTACTGAGGGAAGGAGGTTGTTGGCCAAGATCTCGCGATACATGCATCCCCAAAGAATGTTTCCACCCCCATGCTTCACAGTAGGTATGGTGTTCTTTGGATGCAACTCAGCATTCTTTGTCCTCCAAACACGACGAGTTGAGTTTTTACCAAAAAGTTATATTTTGGTTTCATCTGACCATATGACATTCTCCCAATCCTCTTCTGGATCATCCAAATGCACTCTAGCAAACTTCAGACGGGCCTGGACATGTACTGGCTTAAGCAGGGGGTCACGTCTGGCACTGCAGGATTTGAGTCCCTAGCGGCGTAGTGTGTTACTGATGGTAGGCTTTGTTACTTTGGTCCCAGCTGCAGGTCATTCACTAGGTCCCCCCGTGTGGTTCTGGGATTTTTGCTCACCATTCTTGTGATCATTTTGACCCCACGGGGTGAGATCTTGCATGGAGCCCCAGATCGAGGGAGATTATCAGTGGTCTTGTATGTCTTCCATTTCCTAATAATTGCTCCCACAGTTGATTTCTTCAAACCAAGCTGCTTACCTATTGCAGATTCAGTCTTCCCAGCCTGGTGCAGGTCTACAATTTTGTTTCTGGTGTCCTTTGACAGCTCTTTGGTCTTGGCCATAGTGGAGTTTGGAGTGTGACTGTTTGAGGTTGTGGACAGGTGTCTTTTATACTGATAACAAGTTCAAACAGGTGCCATTAATACAGGTAACGAGTGGAGGACAGAGGAGCCTCTTAAAGAAGAAGTTACAGGTCTGTGAGAGCCAGAAATCTTGCTTGTTTGTAGGTGACCAAATACTTATTTTCCACCATAATTTGCAAATAAATTCATTAAAAATCCTGCAATGTGATTTTTTGGAGAAAAAAAATCTCATTTTGTCTGTCATAGTTGACGTGTACCTATGATGAAAATTACAGGCCTCTCTCATCTTTTTAAGTGGGAGAACTTTTACAATTGGTGGCTGACTAAATATTTTTATTCCCCCCGCTGTATATATAATATAATTATTGTAAAATAACTGTGTCCATAAGGTGTAGATAGTAAGTATAGACCGGAAGTAGAGGCCTGGGCATTGTTGTTCACTAATTTACTCCAAGTAGGGAAAGGATGAAAAGTAATAAAGGGGAGTATATATATAAAACATGGGGGATTGGAAGTGATGCAGACAATTACATTGATAGAATATACAATCTATCTGCAATATTAAGCTTATCCACCCCCCCCCCCCCCCCCCAAAAAAAAAAAATAAGAAAAAAAGAAAAAAGAATGGGGTGTCGACATGGAAACTTGAGTTTGAAAAAATATATATTTTGGTTATTGAACTACAGTAAGTGAAGTGGATTTAAACCCGGTAACGGGATTACATCATAATTATGGATATGAATGTCCTTCTCAACATGTTTCACAAGTTTGGACATCAAGCTCAGAGTTCAGTATAGTGGAGTACAGTACAATATACTGTATTTACTGTATTGTACTGTACTATTGTATTGACTGTACTCTACTGTGCTCTATGCACTGTACTGTACTGTGATGTATTGTACTCTACTCACTGTACTGTACTGGTCCTGGGGCCCCCCTGGGTGCACGTTTTGGTTTTTGCCCTAGCACTACACAGCTGATTCAAATAACCAACTTATCATCAAGCTTTGATTATTTGAATCAGCTGAGTAGTAGTAGTTGTGGGCGATATGACGTTTATACGCAAGCCTCCCTCTTATCCCCGAGTGAAGAGAGCTCGGAAAAACTGAAAGTATGCATCTTAGAAATAGTTTATATACTGTATGTCCAAACTCAGAATCAAATAGGCTAAGCAAAACATAACATGGTCGCTGTGGTATAACGTTTATTTTGATTGGAGATTTTCTTAATTTATTTAAATGGCAACTCCACCACTTTTCAGCCTCATTTTCATTATCTCAGCACAATACCAGTGTCAACATGTGAAAACGGCACATTTAAGTTTTAAACTTTTAAGCCTACCCTGTGATGTCACAGAGAAGCATTTTTTAGGACCCTATTTTTTTAATCCACAGATCATAGAAATGTGCTGTTTTCACATATGTAGACACTGGTTTTGTGCTGGAGATTATGAATATGAGGTTAAAAATAACATCTCATTCCAAAATCATGGGCATTAATATGGAGTTGGTCCCCCCCCTTTGCTGCTATAACAGCCTCCACTCTTCTGGGAAGGCTTTCCACTAGATGTTGGAACATTGCTGTGGGGACTTGCTTCCACTCAGCCACAAGAGCATTAGTGAGGTCGGGCACTGATGTTGGGCGATTAGGCCTGGCTCGCAGTCGACGTTCCAATTCATCCCAAAGGTGTTCGATGGAGTTGAGGTCAGGGCTCTGTGCAGGCCAGTCAAGTTCTTCCAAACCAATCTCGACAAACCATTTCTGTATGGACCTTGCATTGTCATGCTGAAACAGGCAAGGGCCTTCCCCAAACTGTTGCCACAAAGTTGGAAGCACAGAATCGTCTAGAATGTCATTGTATGCTGTAGAGTTAAGATTTCCCTTTACTGGAACTAATGGGCCTAGCCCCAACCATGAAAAACAGCCCCAGACCATTATTCCTCCTCCACCAAACTTTACAGTTGACACTATGAATTCGGGCAGGTAGCGTTCTCCTGGCATCCGCCAAACCCAGATTTGTCTGTCAGACTGCCAGATGGTGAAGCATGATTCATCACTGCAGAGAACACATTTCCACTGCTCCAGAGTCCAATGGCGGCGAGCTTTACACCACTCGAGCAGACACTTGGCATTGCACATGGTGTTCTTAGGCTTGTGAGCAGCTGCCCGGCTGTGGAAACCCATTTCATGAAGCTCCGGACGAAGAGTTCTTGTGCTGACGTTGCTTCTAGAGTCAGTTTGGAACTCTGTAGTGAGTGTTGCAACCAAGGACAGACGATTTTTACGCGCTACGTGCTTCAGTGAGCTTGTGTGGCGGCTGAGCCGTTGTTGCTCCTAGACGTTTCCACTTCACAACAACAGCACTTACAGTTGACCGGGACAGCTCTAGCAGGGCAGAAATTTGACAAACTGACTTGTTGGAAAGCTGGCATCCTATGACGGTGCCACGTTGAAAGTCACTGAGCTCATCAGTTAGGCCATTCTACTGCTAATGTTTGTCTATGGAGATCGCATGGCTGTGAACCCCAACATATATAGGAAGAGAAGCTAGAAACGTGGCGTGAGTTACAGCCTACCCACACGTATTAAGCAAGAAATAAGCTATAAATGTGTGCGAGGTAGAATGCCCCTTCACGGTCAGGCAGTTTACACTGTTGGCTTAATTATTTATTTATTTCACAAGGAAAAGCTACAGCCTCCTCTCCTTCATTCAGATAGTGTATGAGACAAAGGCTGATACTGTAGGTCCGTAGTAATCTTTACTATTATACAGTATTGTGCAGTGTATACCATAGACAGTAATATTACACTGTTGGCTTCATTTTCCAGTATTGGGCTGAGTTTATGTTAGCCCAACCATAGTGAGATTACACTGTTGTTTTTTTCACACAGTTGCTGGGTTGGAATATTTTTTGGTTACAATATTTTACAGTACAGACAGTAACTATCACAGTTTCCCATGGAAACTCACATCTCAGCTCTATTACACTGAGGGTGATTCTCAATTCCATTCGTATTTGGGAAAATGTACATAAATTCATGAGGTGGTAAGAACCAATATCGCCAGGCACCTCTATTTGGAATAACCCCACCTTACCTCCAGTGTTTAATGACAACACCTTTAAGTCCTGGTTCCAAAGTAACATCATGAATTTTGAACATGTGTACTATGATGGATCTTTACTGTCATTCAATCAGTTACAAGAAAGATTTGGATTATCCAAGGCCGATTTCTTTAAATTCCTACAACTCAAATCGTATTCAATTGCTTCAACAGAATCTGGATGAACCTAAGGCATCTAGCATAGAAAACATACTGAAAGAAGCTGCTACGCCAAAGAAGTTGATTGTCAAATTATATCAAGGTTTGATTGAAACTCTACCTGATGGTTCAGAACCTATAAGGAAAAAAATGGGAAACAGATCTAAAGTAAGAAATTGAGACGAACCATTGGTCACAGATATGTGAAAATGTTCATACCTGCTCTTACAACCTAAGACATAAACTACTGCAATATAAGATAATTAACAGAACTTACTACACTCCTGCCAGAATGCATATAATGCACCCAGAAATGTCACATCTCTGTTGGAGATGCAAAAAACGCAAAGGAACTCTATTACAAATTCTGTGGTCCTTTGGTAAACTGACACCATTTTGGGATAACGTATGTGCTATAATTTCATTGTGTCTAGGAACGTATATCCATTTATCTCCATGATTATGTCTGTTGGGACATGTAAATATTGATGATCAATATCAGAGAGTTTTGTAATCTAGGTCTAATTGCTGCAACAACAAAAAAAATGTATAGCCATCAATTGGAAAGCCTCATATTCACCCTCAATAACAAACTGGAGGACTGAACTATCTATCTACATACCATTGGATTTGGTATATTATAAAAACAATTTAAAAAATGAAATGGAAAACAATTGCCCTTTAACGTCCCATCGGGTAGCTTGATTTCAGATGTGTCCATCTCAACAGGATTATTAGGGAAATTGTTCTTCTTGCAAAGCATGTAAATGCTTTAAACAAACTATTTTATTAATCTGACTATCCTCTCCTGCTGTATTACAACCCTTTGAATCCCTCCATTGTCCAACCCCATGTTTCCGACCCTGAGATCCTCCTGTCCGTACCCAGCACAGTGGGATAGATATCCACCAAGGACACTGACTGACTCAGTTGCAGGTCAGACTTCACCCTGGGCCCCATGATGAGCAAAGGAACATGGGATCTGCCTTCAAACATGGACATCTTGAAGAACTGCCGGTGCTCCATGGCCAGGTGGCCGTGGTCAGACTTGAAGAGCAGCACTGTGCTGTCCAGAAGGTCCATTTCCCACAGAGCTGAGATCACCTGGCCTAGAAGGACCGGAGAGAGAAGAGCAGACAGAAAATGAGTGTCTGCTGGGCTTAAATTCAGGATGTAGTAAGCCTGCGTAATGTCAGGATCTACTTATTCAACATCCAAAATACATTTGTACTTAATGGTATAGTGTGGGATTTTGGCATCGAAGCCATTTATCTACTTCCCTAGAATTAGATGAACTTGTGGATACCATTCTTTTTTTAGACTACCTCTTACTTCAAACTGATCACAGACATAAAAGTTATGTCTACGAGTTCATCTGACTCTGTGGAAGTAGATAAAGGGCTTCATTGCCAAAATCCCAAACTATCCCTTTAAGGTCTTTTGCAAGAATGTTGTAGGCCTAATTACAGAACATCCTATGGTTGGTGGCTGCCTGGTTGGCACGTGGTTAAATATACTACTACTACCACCACCACCACCAATACATCTACAATAAACCAGTGTAACACATTTAGCTTCTAAACTGTTTCCAATTAACTTTTCATTGCTGATGACCACATTTTGAAACCTCCAAATGACAGGCACACAAACAAGTTACCACACTAACCCAGCATGGCATATTTTTTGGCACACATGGCGTAGTGGAAGGCCGGTATGTTTCTGACCTCCTCCTTGAAGTTCCCACTGCAGTTCTTGGTGGAGGTGGAGTAGTAGTCCACAGAGTGCATGTCAGACAATAGCAGCCATTTTGGAACAGAGATGAGTTCAGGCATCACCTGTGTGGGGAAAGGAGCTACTTATTCCACATGCTGTGGAATGAAACCTAAGCACAAACTGCAGGTGGGAATCAAACAACAGGGTTTGACTATCTGGAGAAACGTTTAAGGCTTCTGGAGATCGCTATATGGTTAGCACAGTTAGCATAGACTGGACAGCTAACATAACACAATAATCCTACTTCTATGGGACTTAGAATTATTTGTTTCTCACCCTCTCCCTTAAAGTTGTTAACAGGAACTAGTGGTAATTCTGGAATGGCATGAAGAGGACGTGCCTTTTTTGAGCCAGTAAAGGAGGTGCGGAAGGTGAACCTCGTATAGGCCCGAGGGAGTCTGTGACATAGGGAATCACAGGAGGTTGGTGGCACCTTCATTGGGAGGACGGGCTCATAGTAATGGTTGGAACGGAATCAACGGAATGGTATTGAACTCATCAAACACATGCAGCCTCCAGTGGTAGGGATGTGGCAGGATAAGGCCCAGGTACATGATCAAAGGCTGGGAGAGAGATGCAGCACTGGGTGGCAATGTTTGTGGTTCTTCAGTCTGTCAGCTTCCTGCCTCCTGTTTGTCTCCGGGCCTCTAGAGGTCATCTGTGTTCCCCTCTGCCTTAGTTCTTCCTCGTGTGTCCTTATTAGCTTTATCCAGGTCACCTGTGCCTTGTTTCCCCTAGAGTATTTTAGCTGTGTTTTTTCCCCTTGTTCCTCACTTGGTCTTTGAGTCCTGGCTATGTGTCTCCTGTTGTGTCCCACAGAGTCTTTCCGAGTAAGCTTTTCTAAGTTATCTTTATTTTGTTTTTCTCCCCTCGTGGAGTTATTTTGTTTTGTCCTCCTGTTTTGTTTACTGTACCTCTGTTAGTATACCTCTTTCTGAGAAGAACTTTTGTTGGATTATTTTTGAAGTGCAAGGAAATACCTTTTTTTTTATTAAATCTACTTTGCCTGGAGTATTGCCTTGAGTGTTTCGTTTGGGTCCTACTATACCTCCTCTGTGGCTTAGGGGTAGAACACCCAACTCTCCACATCTGAGACCTGAGTTCAAGCCCAGCTTGTGACACAGTCCTTGGTCATGATCCTTGTTGTGGAAGCATCCCCAACCAGGTCTGTCACAGACCGGCCCTCCTGCCGCAGAAGGAAGGGCACATCTCACGTCCATGCCTCCATGCGATTACTGGAGTAGAAACACGTGACATCACCAACCGAGACACATGACGAGGAAAAACCATAGACCTAAATAAAATGAGTCAGAAATAAAACATTTTAAAGCTTTATTTCACCAGTTAAACAAAAATGTTTTGCTTGTCGGCAATTGAGTTTTCAAGATATGTAACTTTCAAAATACAGAAATCATCTCCGTATGAGTCATTTTGCATGATTTCTTGTATTTTGAAAGTTACATATCTTGAAAACTCGATTGCTGACAAGGAAAACAATGGACTGATGAAACAAATACCAAAAGATATCACACTCTGGGTGTGATAGCCATTCTGTTGGAGCAGGTCCATCCACGTCGTGACATTAGGGTCCAGGCACTTCTAATTATTCAACGACTCCATTAAAAATGGACAAAGCGACCACTCCAAATAGCTGTGGAAAAAAATCTACATACAACAGACTGTCAAATGTTTCAATCAATGGGCCTATGGTGGCCATTGGATCGAAAATACAGTTGCATTATTGTTTGAATATAATTTGGATAGGCTACATTCATATTTTTATTGTTCTGTTTTGAACTGAACAGGTCTGTGACCGACTTTATGAACAACGCATTTGTTTGTATATCTCACTAACTATTGTAATGGGATGTATCCACCAGTATTATGCAATTAAACTCCTTGAAGTTCATGTTATGTTGTCACTGGGCCGTAACAAACTACATTATTGACCAATGCACACAGTGAATGGATTATATTGACAAATGCACACTGTGAATAGTTACAATCATAAAATCGAACATCTTACCTTCTCTTGAGTGGCTGCAGATTGGAGAATTGGTGTAGGCATTGAGGAAGACAGTGCCTAGCTCCTGAAGGTAGTAAAAGTATGGTAACTAACTGTACCACCCTACTCTCACGGTCAAAAGACAACCGCTTATCCTGCAGCACTGAGTGTATACATTGCCTTGCAAAAGTATTCATCCCCCTTGGCATTTTACCTATTTTGTTGCATTACAACCTGTAATTTAAATGGATTTTTATTTGGATTTCATGTAATGGACATACACAAAATAGTCCAAATTGCTTAAAAGAATTCTACAAAATAAATAACGGAAAAGCGGTGCGTGCATATGTATTCACCCCCTTTGCTATGAAGCCCCTAAATACGATCTGGTGCAACCAATTACCTTCAGAAGTCACATAATTCATTAAATAAAGTCAACATGTGTACAATCTAAGTGTCACATGATCTGTCACATGATCTCAGTATATACAGTGGGGAAAAAAGTATTTAGTCAGCCACCAATTGTGCAAGTTCTCCCACTTAAAAAGATGAGAGAGGCCTGTAATTTTCATCATAGGTACACGTCAACTATGACAGACAAAATGAGAAAAAAATATCCAGAAAATCACATTGTAGGATTTTTAATGAATTTATTTACAAATTATGGTGGAAAATAAGTATTTGGTCACCTACAAACAAGCAAGATTTCTGGCTCTCACAGACCTGTAACTTCTTCTTTAAGAGGCTCCTCTGTCCTCCACTCGTTACCTGTATTAATGGCACCTGTTTGAAATTGTTGTCAGTATAAAAGACACCTGTCCACAACCTCAAACAGTCACACTCCAAACTCCACTATGGCCAAGACCAAAGAGCTGTCAAAGGACACCAGAAACAAAATTGTAGACCTGCACCAGGCTGGGAAGACTGAATCTGCAATAGGTAAGCAGCTTGGTTTTAAGAAATCAACTGTGGGAGCAATTATTAGGAAATGGAAGACATACAAGACCACTGATAATCTCCCTCGATCTGGGGCTCCACGCAAGATCTCACCCCGTGGGGTCAAAATGATCACAAGAACGGTGAGCAAAAATCCCAGAACCACACGGGGGGACCTAGTGAATGACCTGGGACCAAAGTAACAAAGCCTACCATCAGTAACACACTATGCCGCCAGGGACTCAAATCCTGCAGTGCCAGACGTGTCCCCCTGCTTAAGCCAGTACATGTCCAGGCCCGTCTGAAGTTTGCTAGAGTGCATTTGGATGATCCAGAAGAGGATTGGGGGAATGTCATATGGTCAGATGAAACCAAAATATAACTTTTTGGTAAAAACTCAACTCGTCGTGTTTGGAGGACAAAGAATGCTGAGTTGCATCCAAAGAACACCATACCTACTGTGAAGCATGGGGGTGGAAACATCATGCTTTGGGGCTGTTTTTCTGCAAAGGGACCAGGACGACTGATCCGTGTAAAGGAAAGAATTAATGGGGCCATGTATCGTGAGATTTTGAGTGAAAACCTCCTTCCATCAGCAAGGGCATTGAAGATTAAACGTGGCTGGGTCTTTCAGCATGACAATGATCCCAAACACACCGCCCGGGCAACGAAGGAGTGGCTTCGTAAGAAGCATTTCAAAGTCCTGGAGTGGCCTAGCCAGTCTCCAGATCTCAACCCCATAGAAAATCTTTGGAGGGAGTTGAAAGTCCGTGTTGCCCAGCGACAGCCCCAAAACATCACTGCTCTAGAGGAGATCTGCATGGAGGAATGGGCCAAAATACCAGCAACAGTGTGTGAAAACCTTGTGAAGACTTACAGAAAACGTTTGACCTGTGTCATTGCCAACAAAGGGTATATAACAAAGTATTGAGAAACTTTAGTTATTGACCAAATACTTATTTTCCACCATAATTTGCAAATAAATTCATTAAAAATCCTACAATGTGATTTTCTGGATTTTTCTTTCTCAGGCCTAGACTTAGGCTAAGTGAACACAACACAATGCATCCACACAAACATAAAAGGTTGCTTGCTAATCAAGATAAGAATGCTTACTTTCAGTAAAGAGAAAGTCATTTGCACCTCCCTATTTACGCAATTGAATTGATAAGATTCAAAGATGTACCACAAAGAGAAGAGCATCCGGATCAAAAGCAGTGTGTCTGTGGAGCATGACCTATTTCACAGTGGTACACGGCAACATGGTCAATATGGTCAGTGCTTATTGGGACAGATTCAACTCCTCCCACCGCCAGCTGCAATCCAACGAGGCCAACATTATTACCATCTCCTCTCTCATCATGCAGGTAGATTATTATCACTTGCCAAGAGGTGGATCATGGGTGTACTTTATTCATTATTGCCCATATTAGATGAACATGAATGCATATGCGATCTTTTGTTGAATGGGAAACTTGCTGTCTCTCCTTACAGGCAGCCTGGTGTGTCCTCCCCTCTCGTGATATCCTGGTGCTCACCTCTCAGAAGTGCATCCAGGTGTGCATGTGTGTGTGCGAGGCGGTGGCCTTATACGGTGCCGTCCGCTGCTGTGTCTGCCTGTTGCTCAGGTCTTCACAGGTGTGTCTGTGTTCCAGATGTACGAGTCGGATGGATCCATAATGGTGCACTGGCACGCACTGGACACCCCTGAGACGCCAACAGGTAACTTCAACCCCATATACAAATACTCCATCTTCTCCAACCCTCACCACTGCACACAAACCCAGCAGTATCTCTGTGGGACCAGTGAGTGTGTGACACATGGGAAGCCTAGAGCAGGAAACGCCTGCCTGGTAGGACATGCGTCCTCTCTGATTCCACAGAGACAGAAAGCCTATGAAGGACGGTTAACTCAGAAGCAAACTACGGCTATGACCCATGTCCCACAGTTATGCCTTAACTAGTCTAGAGGACATGGTACTCAATGTCCAGTAGTGCTGAGCGTTTAACCTACAAATTCTATTTATTTTGTTTTGTTTTTTGTGAGCCCAATGTGCCGAGCGATAAATAAAGTCAAGGACTATGTGGGACGCTGGGCTGAATGGGAGTTGTAGTTTTCATTAAGCAAATATTCAACCTAGTTCAGTGTAGAACAGTGGTAATTAACTACAATAACCATAACCCATTGCGCCGGTTCTTTCTGGTTCAGACAGAGATGAATACACTTTTACGCTTGCTATGTTAGGTTAGATACACACAGACTGCATAGACCACATGAGAGAGAAATGTACACAACACAACGTTGAGAGGGAGAGAGACCGTTCGTGAAAGTATGCCTTATCTACTTTAAAGAACGAGTAAAATAATTTTGTCAGACAGCTCTGCAGCATACTTTTGCAGGCTAGCCTAGATAAATAGGATGACTAAAGACAGTACAGTTTTAGGAGCACAGAGAACATTCAATGTTCTGTCTGGCTAACTGCTTCTGCCCGAACAGAGATGAGATGGCCTCCTGAGTGGCGCAGCGGTCTAAAGCCTGGGGTGTCCCAGCCGGACGTGACCGAGAGCCCCATAGGACGGCGCAAAATTGGCCCAGCGCCATCCGGGTTAGGGGAGGGTTTAGCCGGGGGGCTTTCCTTGGCTCATCGCCCTCTAGCGACTCCTTGTGGTAGGCCGGGTGCCTGCAAGCTGACTGGTCGTCAGTCCAGCTGTGTTCCCTCCGACACATTGGTGCGGCTGGCTTCCGGGTTAAGCGAGCAGTGTGATAAGGCGCAGCGCCGCTCGGTGTGTCATGTTTCAGAGGACGCATGTCTCGACCTTCGCCTCTCCCGAGCCCATTGTGGAGTTGCAGCGATGAGACAATATCAGAACTACCAATTGGATATTACGAAAATGTGTAAATAAATAAAAATTTGATTAAAAAAATAGAGGATGACTGAATGAAAAATTAGAAAGAAATCACGTTTTAAATAATAAGTCATATACACAACTGAAATATGTTATTATTTCATAGTAATTTCCTATTTTTCTATTGATGTCTACCGAACGTGGACCTGATGGAGACAATGGAATATTTTCTATGTTTTGGCAATTGAATGTTCACAATATTTGGCTTTGGAATTTCCATTAAATAGCTCTAAAATAATTGTTATGTCATTATTTCATCATGCATTTAATGTACATTTTTTCAAAATCTAAATTGAAAACCGTGATAATATTTTAATAATCGAACCGTAACCAAACCGACCTCAAAAAGCATTAATATCCAGAGCATCTTTCCCATAGATATTGACCAGCAGTCAGATAGAAGAATATTGTCATAATTAAGTAGTTTCCTACATATACTGAACAAAGATACAGTGGGGAGAAGTCATGCTATATATGAATATTTAAGACTTAATTCTTAATAAGGAATGTTACATTTTCTAACTGAATGCTGAAGGAAATTAACATAAATTACATCTAATACAGATACACATAGTACATATTTAACAATGCTATACTGAGACACCTGATTCATTGAGCTGCTTTCAACAACACCAAGTGTTTGCAGTATAGCCTTCTCCCATTTATTTATCTGTAAAACAGATGTATACACACTAATCCTGTAGTGTCATGGTCTGTTACTGGTTGCATTCACACACACACACACACACCTCAACATGGAGGGAGTGTGTCAGCATGTGCCAGTGTGTGATCAGTCAAAATATACAAGCTAAAATTGCACTACAAGTCCTCTTTCTCATCATATATCATAAGATGTTTCACCCTTTCTTTAGCACATTGATGACTACAAAGTACAGTGAACAAAAAATATAAACGCAGCATGTAAAGTGTTGGTCCCATATTTCATGAGCTGAAATAAAAGATACCTGAAATTTTCCATAAGCACAAAAAGCTTATTTCTCTCAAATGTTGTGATACAAATGTGTTTACATCCCTGTTAGTGAGCATTTCTCCTTTGCCAAGATAATCCATCCACCAGACAGGTGTGGCATACTGGACTGATCACACACTGGCACATGCTGACACACTCCCTCCATGTTGAGGTGTGTGTGTGTGTGTGTGAATGCAACCAGTAACAGACCATGACACTACAGGATTAGTGTGTATAAATCTGTTTTACA